GGGGGGGGGGTTAACAAATTACAATATCGAAATTGAACCCTAGTTTTGCCCTAGTTTGTGGTACATTCTCAGACCCTAAGATTGTTGTAATTGAAAAAAAATTGTTTGATATTAATTTTCAAAGTGTTTGGAAATTGCCGAATTGGGACTGTATTTAATATATTTAGGTCTGGACTCTGGAGAGCTCGAGTTTTTTCAAATCGTTTACGACATCAGATATTGAGATAGTGGGCGAATATGTATTATATTGGGCCAAATTGTGCCTATACGTGTACAAAATTTAAACGTGCAAGCTGCACCAAAAATCAAATCCTGGGCAGGGGGGGGAGGGGAGCCCTACAACAGTATTTAGCACATCCGAATTTTTTTAGTTGATGTTTTTTTAATAGAAAACAAAATAGGTTGACCCGGCATTCCAGTTTCCACTAAACAAAATAAGTTGCCGACATTCAATTTGAAATTTTAACTTTTTGAGATCTAGTGCATTCAGCATTACTCCTATTGAAATATATTTTTTCTTCACTATCTTAAGACTTTATTTAAAAACAAACCCCCTTTTATGTCTATTAGTATTTTAGAAGGCTATGTATGTTTTTATATATATTTCTTTTTCTTTGAAGATATTTTTTAAAATACAGTCTGGGTCGGTCTGACACTGTGACAGTACAGACCGTAGGCGTACAGTCCATACTATGTATTTGTTTAAAAAAAAAGGTCGGATAGATACATGTGTGTTTTATTACAGTTAGATATGTGATACATAAATATATTTACGTCGTAATACTGATATTATAGTTTGGTTTAGAAGACACGCGTTTGTCGTTGGCCGCTGTACCAGGCGCCTTTGTACTGAAAATATTTTTTTGGATCAAAATTCAGACACAAATATTTTTATTGTCGTTTTTTTATACATAGACTGCCAATATGTACTTATTTTAAGGGGTTTTTGTTTTAAATGAACAATCTTCTATTTTTGAAATTTGAAATCTACTTCTTTCAAATTAATTGCTTCCTTTTAGCATATATTACTCGATGTCTCGACACGCGATTGTCTAAACTCTAAAGATGGCTAAATCTTTTGCGAGTAAAATTTTGATAAATAGCTTCTTTTTTTTTTGGCTGAGTCTGAGACTGAGGCTCTAAATGTAAAGAGAGTGAAACCAGAGAAGACACGGGAAGAAATATGATTTTGTGTTCACCGGACTCCAGAGAATGACATGGCTTTGAAAAAGTTGAAAAAGTTGAACAAAATTGGAGCTGTGAAGATCAACTTATAAAAATGCATACCTCTACAGCGACTTCTACATGTATGTACCCACAAATACTATACTTGTGTCTGTGCAATCTAAAAGCACGTTAAAGCTTCAATGTTCATCTGTTAAGTATTTAAAACGATCTGCGTTGTACAAAAAGGCATCACAAAATCATCGCAACAACACAATGACTCTCATCAGCTCTCTTCTCCATTGCCACCATGCCATCAGGCACTCAGGTGAATCTGATGGGACACGTAAATCGAAAACCAATAACGATGATGCTTCCATTACTATCGCACACATCGACCATCTGTTTGATAGTTTTGATGGTGTCGTAGGTAATCACGAGCATGTCGATCCGTCTACAGTGAAACGAACGCCACTTCCGGTCCGTGCCGAGAAAGAGCTGTCGGTTCGCATCTCGCAATCATTCTTTGATTTCCGTCCAAGCCGCAGTGTCGTAGACTTGCAATCGGTGGACTGGACCGTACATTGGAATACCAAAATGACTGGCATCGATACCGATGCCATCGCGGTCAACGAGTTTCCTTTCGATTTCGATAGTAGCCCCACACGTCTATCTGCACCTCATGCGGAGCGACACTCTGTCACTCTACCCATCCCTCAGAACTTGAGAGATTCATTGCATGCACTTTGCGGGCAACAGGGGTTGAATCCGTCCAATTTCATTGCGGCCGCATTCGGTCTTCTTATATGCAAACATACGAACACTAAAGATGCCGTTATTGGTGTGCTACCCGAAGCAGGACTGATACCGGTACCACTTCGGTTGTTGCTCGACACGAAGATGGTCGGAACTCCTTCCGTGGAGGCCTTGTCTCTCGTTCAAAAGGTGGAGGCCGAAATGGATTTTATTAACAGACATACCCGTAAATACCGTGATACCGAAGCGGTTCAGAAGGTACTAGATGCGGCGCTTGAAACATCCGAATTGGAGGCCGACTTTTATCGTATTTTAGTCTCCGCAAGCAATCGTTCTGAAGCTGTAAATAGTTTTAAGGATGTAATCGATCTAGCATTGTCCTTCACCGATGAGAACCACACTTCGTTGTCATGGACGTACAACGATGAATTGTTCCTGCCCAGTACAATCAATTTCATCCACGATCGCATGATCACTGTACTGAACACTATTTGTAAAGTAGAGGGTTACCAACCTTTGGATGGAACTGTGGAAACTCTTTTCGATGCCATCAAGATCACATCGGCAGAAGAAGATCGCATTTTGGCCCAATTCTCAAAAGGAAAGCAACGATATGTACCTATGGCAGAAGGATTACACAAACTATTTGAACAGCAAGTCGGTCGGGTAGGTCATAAAGTCGCAGTGTCCGATGAGCAGCGAAAATCCCTCACATACGCAGACCTCAACTCTCAAGCTGACATACTGTCAAAGATGCTATGCGCCCTGCCAATGATGCGGTCAGAATTTGCCGACGAGCGCCGAGTAGCCATCATGATACCAAGATCACTCACATTGTTCGTCGCTCTGATTGCTGTTCTAAAAGCGGGTGCCGCTTACGTGCCTATCGATCCTACCTACTCAGCACAGCGTATCGCATACATTCTGGAAGATTCGGGAGCAGATGTGTTGATAACAGTTGCGAGCACACGATCTCTGGTGCCTGTAGATTTCTGCGGCTCGGAATGCATGTTACCAAATGTAGCAATCGAACCTCTCGAAACTAAACCGGAACTGGCTCGCATAAACATGCCAAAATCCACTCCAGACAAACTTTTCTGTGTGCTATACACGTCAGGTACTACTGGTAAGCCCAAAGGTGTCGGGGTGGAGCACCATAACGCCCTGACTTTCATGGCCAACTCTTTGTGGGATCCAATCGGTGAAAACGATGTTTGGGCTCAAATGGCCAACTTCTGCTTCATCGGCTCCATGAATGATATCTGGCTACCATTGGTGAGAGGAGCTTCTACGACCATTGTGCCTCGGGCAGCCATGATGGATGTCCAGGAGTTTAAACGTGAGATTTATGAGCGTGGTGTGACTTGCACGTTTATGACTCCAAAGCTTCTCGAACTATTCGCCGATGCCGATCCGGCGGCCTTCGAAGGCCTCAATGTGGTGCAAGTGGCCGGAGAAGCTGTTCGCTTGGATGCTGTTTCTAAACTTGCCGGCAGAGCTAAGCATCTTCAACATCTATACGGTTGTACAGAGCGAACTGGCTGCATCTCTGGGTATGAAATTCCCACCGGAGGGCTACCTGACGCACTTCAAAGAGGCAAACGCATGAGTATCGGAATGCCAATTGAGAATACTAGCATGCATATTCTGGATGCCAACATGATGTCTGTGCCCGTTGGCGTTGTTGGGCAGCTTTACGTAGGTGGGGATCAAATTACCAGAGGGTATCTTAACAGACGGGATTTGACCGAAGCTAAATTCTTCGAATGTCCTAGAGGACGAGGGCGTTTGTATTCTACTGGCGACCTCGCTCGCTGGCTACCTGATGGAAGCGGTGTTGACTTGATCGGCCGTACCGATAGCATGGTCAAAATCCAGGGCTACCGTGTCGAATTAGGCGAAATTGAAGCAGCCATCATGAACACAAAACCCAAGGATGGTCCCGGTATTACTACAAGTTGTGTGATATTGCGGGGCGATATCATACTTGGAGAACAGGTTCTTGTTGCCTATGTGACACCAGCGTCGGTCAGTGTGAAGGATGTACGCGCGCATCTTATAACCACACTTCCTGCATATATGGTACCAGCTCACCTGATGCCGATCGCTAGCATTCCTCTAAATCACAATGGCAAGGTGGATCGCCGAGCGCTACCCAAACCCAATGGAAACGACGCAATCCACACCCCAATCGCAACCAGAGCTTTAACAGAATCTGAGACTGTGGTTGTGAAGAGTTGGAGTGAATTGATTGGCATACCAGTGACATGCATTGCCAGCCATAGCGTATTTACGGAATTTGGCGGTAACTCGATGAGAATTGCAAAACTCCTCAGTATATTGCGAAAATACTGTAAAGCACTGGAACTGAGTGATTTACTCGATAATGATACACCTGAAAAAATCGCTAATCGTGTGGACGAAATTTTTACGAATAATATCGATTATGTCCAGCTTCCTGAGACAATTCTCAAGTTTAGCGCTGGAGATGGGTCTGGAGCCACCCCAGTATTTCTAATCCATGGGGGTAGTGGTGTGGTAGATTACGGAGCACAGATTGGGCAGTTCGTCAAAAAACATCCATATTACGGAATCCAGCTCACTCAAGCAGTAGCGGCGGTATGTAAAGAGGCCGAAGCCAACGGCTACGACGTCTTGCACGCAGTGTCCAGTGCATACGTTGGGTCTGTGCGGGCAGTACAAGCGCACGGTCCGTACTCCTTCGCTGGGAATTCGCTCGGTGCCCTTATCGCCTTCGAGATGACACGAATACTCGAGGACGATGGTGAGGTCGTCGAGAGAATTGTCCCCATGGATATGCCCGTGGCTAAGTTTAGCAAGGCTCACTGCTACCGCACCGCCACATCGTACGCTGAGAAGGCTCCCATGCTTCTGACTGCTGTATGGGGACGCATGTTGTGTGATGACACTGAACGGGTCGATAAACTGTTGGCGGAGATGGATGCCACTTTCTCACAACGCCTGGAGAACAACAAAGATGACCCGGCAAGCGCCGAGGAAATGTTCACCCAGATGGAATCAACCATGAAATTCCTCTTGGACTTAGGTATGCCTCGAGAGGAGTACGACCGAGTAGTGTTTGGACTCTCCATCTGCGGACCCTTGTTCCAGGATCTGAGAGGCCGGGGTACAGTGAAGGCCGATGTAAGTCTGATCAAATGCGAAGACAATCGGCTTATGAATCACACACTGCGCACCTCGGGTCAACAGGACATGCTGCAATTCTATGGATGGGACCAGGTGACTACTGGTACGGTGACCACTAATGTGGTACCGGGTGATCATGTGGATATGGTGTCTGTGGGCATGAAGGAGTGTGCCCAGGTGTTCGATGATTGCTAGATCACTCAATGCACACGCGCATTTTTAGAATTTATTGAATACCAATTTTCTGGCAACTAAGGACTATCTCACAAGGATGTAACTCAGTTATTCAAGATTAATGCCAATTATCTATTTTTTTATTCAAAAACTTTGAACAAATACATACATATAAATAAATAAATTTGAAGTAATAAACTCGCTGTACGTGCGAAAAAAATGTACAAAGTTTAATTGGGCTGCAATTAATTATTGGAAAAGGGTACCCCGACTCCCAACACACTCCAGTATAGAGATCTGAATAGTTTAGAGTCTAGGGCACTACACCGATTTGCAGCTCATCAACCGAAGGAAAAATCTGTATTTGGATGGTTTTAACAACACATGCCAGCAGCGCATAATAAGGTCAGCCAACTGCACGTCTACATGAGATTAAACTACCATCCCTGAATCGGTTGCCTGAAGAATTAACTCACACAAACAACCATGTGATCACTATTAGGCAGGGGCGCCTCTGGGCTCCACCAGGATCTCGTTAATGCCTACATGCTGAGGCGCACTCACAGCGAATAACACACTGTTAGCCACATCCTCCGGGTCTAGCCACACATCACGATCATCACTGGGCTGTGCGTACTCGTCTCTGGCTTCCTCATCGGTTGTAAGTGTGCTCAGCTCCGTCTTGCAGTCTCCCGGCTGTATGGTGGTCACCTTGATACCTGTTCCTGCTGTTTCCAGACGCAGTCCTTGGCAAAGGGCCTCGACAAAGTGCTTAGACGCGCTGTACACACTCAATCCGGGGAACACTTTTCTACCGGCGTCACTGGAGGTGGCAATGAGATGCCCCCGCCCTCTCTCCAGCATTCCCGGGAGAACCGCACCGATCGCGTGCAGCAGACCCTTGCAGTTAACGTCTACCTCCTTCTCCCACTGATCCTCGCGCATGTTCGACAGCTTGGTATAGTGCATCACACCAGAGTTGTTCACATACACATCCACGCCACCGCCCATCGCCTCCTCACAGTAGGTGACGTACGCCTTCACCTCGTCTTTCTTGGTGACATCCACCTGGTAGCACACCACCTTACTTCCTGTGCGGGCTGTGATACTCTTCGCCAGGTCTTTTAACCTGTCGATCCGTCTGCCTCCCAGTCCCACCGTCGCCCCAGCATCGCTGAGCACATTTGCAATCGCCGCTCCAATGCCTGACGACGCACCCATGACGCAGATACGCCTACCGAGCAAAGGCTTACCCGGCGACGAAGGTAGCTTTATATAGCCAGCCTGCTGCCACGCTTCGATGTACTCGTGTAGCAGTGTTTGGGTGATCTCTGGCAGCACTATGCCGGCCGCGGCGCATTTCTCGACAAAGAGGTCGTTGTTGAACGTGGACAAGCGCTCCAGTTGCGTGATATCGTCTGTGAGTATCATAGCGTTCTTCAGACGGGCGAGTGTCGGGTTAGCGGACGCTGTAAGCTGCGCCTTCCACTGGTCGAGCGGCTTTGATTCCAAGCCATACGATGCACTGTTACGCACGATGTTGAAGCACTCCTTAGCCGTCAGTGAGTTGGCGAAGTTGGTCACGTGGTACACCTTGCCCAGGCACGTATTGTCCATGCTCAGCTTCACAATCGCACGCGCCGCTATATCCACCGGCGTCATCTCCAGCACCCACTCAGAGCCTGTGCCCGTGTCTGCATCCGCATCAGGCGCAGCACCCAATTGGATGCACCCCGTGAGTGTGAGGAAATTGGTATCAGAGGTGTTCCAGGACTTGTTGCCCCCTCGCGACCCGGAATCGCCACCCATATTACCGGGACGGAAGATGACTGTAGGTAAACCACGGTCTGACGCGCGCTGCACCAGCTGCTCTGCCACCCACTTGCTCTGGGAGTAACCGTTGCCATGGGCAACCAACTCATCCGCACACTTATCGATGGGGTCCGTTTCTTTGACCTCCTTGAGTCCCTCCGGGAACACTCCGTCGGTGGAGACGTAGCCGAATCGCTTCACCTTACCCTGCAGGGCAAAATCAATCATGTTGCGTGTGCCGATCACATTGGCCGACCGCATGCCATCGTACGGGTACACCAGATTCACCAGCGCCGCACAGTGAATGACCATATCAACCCCCGTGCTCAACACAGCGAAGTCATCGTCCTCCAGCCCCAGGTGGAACAAGCTCGAGTCACCCGCAAACGCATGCACCCGTGCCTCATACTCGTCCTTCCACAGACCCTTGGCCTGCATGCCTGTGCGTACCCGTTCCTGCACTGCGGCGGCGGTCTCCTTGTCGCTGGTGGTGTTGGTTTGTGTGGCTGGTGCACGGACGATACAGTACACGACGTCGATGTCAGGGTTGAGCAGAAGCTCGTGTAGCAAATGCGCACCCAGGTAGCCAGTGGCACCGGTCATCAGCACAGCACGAGCACGCACCTGGGGATCAACAGATGAGCACGCGCAAGAGAGGGCATGTTAGTCTTAGTGGAGGTATATGGGGAGATATATTAGCCTTAATATATATATATATATATATGTATATATACATATATATAAACATAAACATATATCTATATGCATATGCATATATACATATATACATCATACTTACATACATACATACATACATACATACATATATACATATGTAAATGAAATATATATACATATTTTCGCTACACGTATCATACACACACTCTCACATACGTGTATAGCCAAAGACATACCTACCCACCCACCCACCCCTTTTTATAGCGCACCCATTGTGACAAATAAGTTTAATTCACACACCTGTGTGAAGTGAGTCGACCGCCAGAAAGCACGCATTGAGATGTCATTGATGTCGCGTGACGCATCGTGCATATCCACCTCTCGCTCCAAACTCAACTGTGGCATCAGATCGCTGGTAGGGTCTGCAGCCGCGGTGGGGTCTAGTACCACGACAGGTATATTGTTGTACGTTTGTAGATGCTCAGCTAACTTGCTGATAGACGAGTGTGTAAACAGATCCACCACCTGCATGTCAGTCCACTCCGTGCCCTGTGGCATTTGTGTGAAAGAAGAACCGTTACTGACTCAGGTGGTGTGCGTACACGGAACAGCATCACATGACATGACATGGCATGCACAGGGGTGCGGTGAGTAGCATGAGAGCTGCGGCTGAGTATGAAACGTCCCTTCTAGCCTCTGCTCACACCCCCCCCCTGAGCCAACGTAGTCGGCCGTGTACTTGCCCGTGCGTCACTCAGCCCAATGTGCACGGGTACAGCTCTAATGACTAAACAACGAGACCAGTCCCACATCCATTTGCACCACTTCGACACCCTACACATCCGCAGCAAACACATTCCTCTACAACAAGACACCCCATATACAAGTAGGTGTAAGCCCACAACTGATATACAAGTAGGTGTAAACCCACAACTGATATACAAGTACGTGTAAACCCATAAATACAAGTACTTGTAAACCCACAACTCATATACAAGTACGTGTGAAACCACAACTCATATACAAGTACGTGTACGCCCGTGCATGACGGTAGCACCCACCCACCCGTGGGAAAGCGTAGTCGGCCTTGCACTTGTCGTTGATGGATCGGCACAGTGTGGGCGCTATCAGCGAATGCCCACCGATGTCAAAGAACGAATCAAACACCACATCAATCTGGTGCATCTTCATCACCTCACACCACACCCCCAGTAGTCTTAGCTCAAGGTCAGTGCGAGGAGTGGTCACTCCAACCATCTCGTTAGCCGATACGCGGCGGCTCTTGCCCCCGGCAGTGGCTGGGTAGACAAACGCACCCGACTGCACATCCACTACGGGTAGGGCTTTCTTGTTGAGCTTGCCTGGGGTGTGAGATGGTTGGATGTGTGGCGTAAAAGTAGGAGATGAGCGCAAGGTGGCGGCTGTATGACTGGTTTGAGTGTTCTTGTTTGACGTGTGTTTGTGACACTGGCTACTTGGTCGAGGATTGTGTGAGGAGGGGCCAGAGATGCGTCTGATTAGAGAGTGAATACAATAGGAGAGGCTTCAGCACGAACAGCGCAACATCCCAAGATGCAAACACGTGTAACGTACGATAGTGGTATGGTCATTCAACTACACGTGAACATACACACACACACACACAGAAAGTGTACATATACAGACACACACACACAGAAAGTGTACATACACACACACACAGAAAGTGTACACGCACACACACACAAGAGAGCGAGAGAGAGAGAGAGCGCGAGCACATACCTGAGACCTCATTCGTCGGTAGCTCCACCATGTCTAGCATGTAGGCAGGGATCATAAAGTGCGGCAGCTTGGTCTTAAGCTCTAATCGCACCCGCCTGCAGGTAGCCTCCGGTCTGTTTGCATTAAGCACAATGTACGCGACCACAAACTTGTCGTCACCCTCCTCTCCTTGGACTGTACACACACACGTGGACACAAGGTGGCTCATGTCCATGATGGCTGCTTCAATAGCACGAAGTTCCACCGAGTAGCCGCGGATCTGGGTGTGAGGTGAGTGTGAGTGTCTGATGTTACGATAACTGTGGGTGCTGTTTGGTTTAGACAGTGTGGGTATCGGATCGGTGTAGAAAGGCAGAGAGGTGTCTTTTTGAGTTTAGCGGATTTAGGCGTCTTGAAGTACATACACACTTGTCTTAAAGTGCATACACACATACAGAATATAGGTTCAACACAAAGAAAGAATATGGACCACTCAGTGCACACGGCCAAAAAAGGCCCCGTGATCCTCACCATAGCCCCAAAGTACCAGCAGGACGATAAGAAGTATCTTTAACAAACGCTTGCGTTTACCCGAATACCTTGCGCTACCCAGTGAACTACTAATCAATCGGTTGATCCACACCTTGTCCCAGCGATGCCACAAAAGGGGCTGCAGAGCATTACTACACAGACCCATCCAATGACCAACATGTATCATGATACAGCCTCGTTCCAAGGCAGAACACACACACTACATACACCTTGTGCACACACGCAACACACACCTTGTACAAACACACTACATACACCTTGTGCACACACGCAACACACACCTTGACCATGCTATCATTGCGCCCCAGGATCTCCAGCTCTCTGTTCGGTAGCACCCTGGCCCGATCGCCCGTCTTGTACAGACGCTTGCCATTCGCCAAAGACGGGAAACGCTCAGCAGTCAACTGCTCCTTACCTACATAACCACGCGCGAGTGTGGGACCAGCAACGTATAACTCGCCTTGCTCACCTGTGGCCTTCTCTGTGGCCGTGTTGAGTGTGGCAACGGTGGTACCTTCTTCGAGGATGATGGCTTCGACACCTTCCATCAGCTTGCCTACTGGACTGTTGATGTATGTAGTTGATGTATGTACGTAGGAGGCGTGGGTAGGGCGAGGGATGGTATGGATGCGAATAGCTTGTATCTCGCAATTCACTTGCCATTTGGTAGACAATGGGTAGCAGGGTTACCCCAATATATCACTATATAGGCGGTGTACTGACATTGATACTATTCAACTGCCGTTTGGAAGACAAGTAGCAGGGCTACCCTAATATATCACTATATATAGGGAGTGTACTGACATTGATACTATTCACGATCAATGTTCTATACACCACATTAATGGTTTGCATCTCTCAACAAGACTTCGTAGCGTTGCCTAATGCGAAGAAAACGCGTGCGTATGCAGTACGTTACTAGCATACAAGCCCAAATAAACCAGATATATGAAAGGCTCGATAGGCTTGGAGACAGGTGTGCATATAATGGAACCAGACTATGTATACGCACAAGACACACACGCATGCAAGCCACCCCCCGCACATACTATAACATTCGCTAAGATCAGTAGCTACCATTCCGCAGAGATATTACGACTGATAATCGAGGCTGCAAAGCACATACAAACATATATAGGCAGACCACAAGCAGAAGTAACAAGCAGAAGTATACATACCATTCCGTTAATTCAATGCTGACACTTGCGCGAGCATATACAGCCCTTCACATCATCCGTCACTGCACTTTCTAGCCACAGCAGCCCAACGACCGACAGCAATGTATCGCTATTCCCACACATACACGACTCACGTGAACGCCCATTCTAGAAACAAACTAGTTATACCCCTCACAACATACACGTATGTGTACACACACCACGCATACACGACGCCACAACACACACGCAGGAACACTTTACCAGTATTTGCGGGAACCATAGTTGCCGTCAGTCAGGTCCAAGGCGGCGACATCGTGACACTCACTGACACTGTAGAGGTTCCAAATGCGTGCCCACGGGATAAGACTGCGTATACGCTCCTGCAACGCAACCTTGACCACCTCCCCACACAGCACAATGGTCTTCAGCGTGTGCATACGGCTCTTGATGGTATCTGCGGACAGGCACTTACTCTCGAGCATGCTTTCCAGGAGAGACGGGGTGAACAACATGCGTGTGATCTGCATCTCCTGGATGTACGTCGACAGGCTGTCGGGGTCGTAGATGACATTGTCGGGAATCGGACACAGCGTCTGACCTTGCAGTAGCGGTCGCATCATCTCCCACACAAAAAACACATTACACCCTTCGACCTCTCCCTCCTGCGCGTATGGGATGTTCTTGAACCGCCATTTGTAGGAGACCACAGCTCCTCTATGTGGACAGGCAATGCCCTTAGGCTCACCGGTAGTGCCTGATGAGTACACCACATACGCGAGCGAGTCTAGGTCTGTGGTATCCACGCCAACCAGCGCTGCTCTGTCCTGAGATGTTCGGGTTGGCGCCAGGTCGGAGGAAGGACGTGGGAGTGAGTTTACGGATACGTATAGCGTTTCAGGTATATATAAAAAAGTATCTATGATGGAGCGACGGTTTGTACATAGCACTACGTTTTTAATATCACCTTATGCCATTTCGCTATGGAGCTAAGCACCCTAGGCTTAGCTGATATTTAATATGTTGTGGACTTGGGTATAAGGCTGAGACGAAGTGTATCACGTCGGACTACTTGCACGACTATCAAGTCTGGGAAACAACTAGAGAAATAGCGAACAAGACTATCGTACATTTACAATCCAGAAACAATCTGGGGGCAAAATTGGTCTTGTGAGCACAGTACAAACAACACACACATGACTTTCACGAGATAAGCTGCGTTAAGAAACTATAGATATTCCAATCCGCATAAAAACTATTAAAGCTTGATCCAATATGCAGTGCAGTCGTCAATATGCGTACACACCAACCAATTCAAACAACACAGGGATATAGAAACAAACAATCTTGGTAGCAGCTTTTAAATAAATTACATATTTACATACCCAAATTGAATACAAAGATGAATATAACACAGAAGTAGATCGACATGTGAAAGTCTATTAATATATATAGATATATATATATATATATATATATATATATATGTGTGTATGCATATCAATATGTATATGAACATGTATATGTATACGTATACGTACATACATATGTATATATATGCATAAACATACATTCATATATACATACATACATACACACGCACACGCACACACACATATATATATCTATATATATATATATATAAGTGTGTGTGCATATATATGTGTGTGCATATACATATGCACTTATATTTACATTAGCATTAATATACGCATATTTACATACATTTCCATATAC